GGCTGCGACCACGGCCGCGATAATGGCTGCGACCACGGCTGCGAAAATGGCTGCGACCACGGCTGTGAAAAAAATGGCTGCGACCACGGCTGCGAAAAATGGCTGCGACCACGGGTTCTAAAAAATGGCTGCAGCCACGGCTGCGAAAGTGGCTGCGTCGACGGCTGCGAAAAAATGGCTGGGACCACGGCTGCAAAAATGGCTGCGACACGGCTGCTAAAATGGCTGCGAAAAAATGGATGCGACCACGGCTGCGAAAATGGCTGCGACCACGGCTGCGATAATGGCTGCGACCACGGATGCGAAAATGGCTGCAACTACGGCCGCGAAAATGGCTGCGACCACGGCTGAAAATGGCTGCGACCACGGCTGCAAAAATTGCTGCCACCACTGCCGCGAAAATAGCTGCTACCACGGCTGCGAAAATGACTGCAACCACGACTGGGGAAATGGCTGCGACCATGGCTAAGACAAAAAAGCTGCGACGACGGCTGCGAAAAAATGGCTGCGTCCACGGCTGCGGTTGCGACACAGACAACGACTGAGCACAAATAACGGCTGTGAAAATGACTGCGACGCAGGCACCAGTTGCGTATCGATAATGGCTGCGACAATGGCTGCGAAAAGGGCTGGGACCACGGCTGTGAAAATGGCTGCAGCCTTGGCTGCAAAAATAGCTGCAACCACGGCTGCGAAAATGGCTGCGACCACGGCTGCGAAAATGGCTGCGACCACGGCTGCGAAAATGGCTGCAACTACGGCCGCGAAAATACCTGCGACCACGGCTGCGAAAAATGGCTGCGACCACGGCTGTAAAAAAGGCTGCGACCACGGCTACAAAAATGGCTGCTACCACGGCTGCGATAATAGTTGCGACCACGGCTGCGAAAATGACTGCGCCCACGGCTGCGAAAAAATGGCTGCGACCACGGCTGCGAAAATGGCTGCGACCACGGCTGCGACATAATGGCTGCGACCACGGCTGCAGAACAATGGCTGCGACCACGCCTGCTAAAATAGCTACGACCACGGCTGCGAAAATGGCTGCGACCACAGCTGCAAAAAATCGGCTGCGATCACGGCTGCGAAAATGACTGGGACCACGGCTGCGAAAAAAATGTTTGCGACAACGGCTGCGAAAATGGCTGCGACCACAGCTGCGATAATGGCTGCGACCACGGCTGCGAAAATGGCTGCGACCACGGCTGCGAAAAAAGGGCAGCGACCACGGCTTCTAAAAAATGGCTGCAACCACGGCTGCGAAAATGGCTGCAACCACGGCTGCGTAATATGGCTGCGACCACGACTTCGAAAATGGCTGCGTCGACGGCTGCGAAAAAATGGCTGGGACCACGGCTGCGACACGGCTGCGAAAATGGCTGCGAAAAAATGGGTTCGACCATGACTGCGAAAAAAGCTGCAACGATGGCTGCGAAACAATGGCTGCGACCACGGCTGCGAAAATGGCTGCGACCACGGCTGCGACAAAATGGCTGCGACGACGGCTGCGAAACAATGGCTGCGATCACGGCTACGAAAATAGCTACGACCATGGCTGCAAAAATGGCTGCGACTACAGCTGCGAAAGATTGGCTGCGATCACGGCTGCGAAAATAACTGCGACCACGGCTGCGAAAAAATGTTTGCGACAACGTCTGCGAAAATGGCTGCGACCACGGCTCCGATAATGGTTGCGACCACGGCTGCGAAAATGGCTGCGACCACGGCTGCGAAAAAAAAATGGCTGCGACCACGGCTACGAAAAATGGCTGCGACCACGGCTTCTAAAAAATGGCTGCAACCACGGCTGCGAAAATGGCTGCAACCACGGCTGCGTAATATGGCTGCGACCACGCCTACGAAAATGGCTACGTCGACGGCTGCGAAAAAATGGCTGGGACCACGGCTGCGAAAATGGCTGCGACACGGCTACGAAAATGGCTGCGACCATGGCTGCGAAAAAATGGGTGCGACCACGGCTGCGAAAATGGCTGCGACGGCGGCTGCGAAACAATGGCTGCGACCACGGCTGCGAAAATGGCTGCGACCACGGCTGCGACAAAATGGCTGCGACCACGGCTGCGAAACAATGGCTGCGACCACGGCTGCGGTTGCGACACAGACAACGACTGAGCACAAATGACGGCTTTGAAAATGACTGCGACGCTGGGAGTAGTTGCGTATCGATAATGGCTGCGACCACGGTTGCGAAAATGGCTGCGACCACGGCTGTGAAAATAGCTGCGACTACGGCCACGAAAATGGCTGCGACCACGGCTGCGAAAAATGGCTGCGACCACGGCTGCGAAAATGGCTGCGACCACGGCTGCAAAATGGCTGCGACAAAATGGCTGCAACCAAGGCAGCGAAAATGGCTGGAAACAAGGCTGCGTAATACGGCTGCGACCACGACTGCGAAAATGGCTGCGTCGTAGGCTGCGAAAAAATGGCTGGGACCACGGCTTCGAAAATGGCTGCGACACGGCTGCAAAAATGGCTGCGACCATGGCTGCGAAAAAATGGGTGAGACCACGGCTGCGAAAATGGCTGCGACGACGGCTGCGAAACAATGGCTGCGACCACGGCTGCGAAAATGCCTGCGACCACGGCTGCGACAAAATGGCTGCGACGCTGGCTGCGAAACAATGGCTTCGCCACGGCAGCGGTTGCGACACAGACAACGACTGAGCACAAATAACGGCTGTGAAAATGAATGCGACGCAGACAGTAGTTGCGTATCGCTTACGGCTTTCTTCATTCAGCTCTATTTCACGCACTTACCTAGGGTACCCTGTAAAAAGACTCACAGTCTGTGGGGGTTGCCCTAGTAAAATAATAAATACTACTACTACTACTACTATCGATAATGGCTGCGACCACGGCTGCGAAAATGGCTGCGACCACGGCTGCGAAAATGGCTGCGAAAATGGCTGCGACTACGGCCGCGAAAATGGCTTCGACCACGGCTGCGAAAAATGGCTGCGACCACGGCTGCGAAAAGTGCTGCGACCACGGCTGCAAAAATGGCTGCTACCACGGCTGCAAAAATAGCTGCGACCAAGGCTGCGAAAATGACTGCGACCACGGGTGCGAAAAAAATGGCTGCTACCACGGCTCCGAAAATGGCTGCGACCAAGGCTGCCACAAAATGGCTGCGACGACGGCTGCGAAACAATGGCTGAGACCACGGCTTCGAGACGGCTGCGAAAAAAGGGCTGCGACCAAGGCTGCGAAAATGACTGCGACCACGGCTTCGAAAAAATGTTCGCGAAAACGGCTGCGAAAAGGGCTGCGACCACAGCTGGCGAAAATGGCCGCGAGCACGGCTGCGAAAATGGCTGCGACGACGGCTGCGAAACAATGGCTGCGACCACGGCTGCGAAAATGCCTGCGACCACGGCTGCGACAAAATGGCTGCGACGCTGGCTGCGAAACAATGGCTTCGACCACGGCAGCGGTTGCGACACAGACAACGACTGAGCACAAATAACGGCTGTGAAAATGAATGCGACGCAGACAGTAGTTGCGTATCGCTTACGGCTTTCTTCATTCAGCTCTATTTCACGCACTTACCTAGGGTACCCTGTAAAAAGACTCACAGTCTGTGGGGGTTGCCCTAGTAAAATAATAAATACTACTACTACTACTACTATCGATAATGGCTGCGACCACGGCTGCGAAAATGGCTGCGACCACGGCTGCGAAAATGGCTGCGACTACGGCCGCGAAAATGGCTTCGACCACGGCTGCGAAAAATGGCTGCGACCACGGCTGCGAAAAGTGCTGCGACCACGGCTGCAAAAATGGCTGCTACCACGGCTGCAAAAATAGCTGCGACCAAGGCTGCGAAAATGACTGCGACCACGGGTGCGAAAAAAATGGCTGCTACCACGGCTCCGAAAATGGCTGCGACCGAAGCTGCCACAAAATGGCTGCGACGACGGCTGCGAAACAATGGCTGAGACCACGGCTTCGAGACGGCTGCGAAAAAAGGGCTGCGACCAAGGCTGCGAAAATGACTGCGACCACGGCTTCGAAAAAATGTTCGCGAAAACGGCTGCGAAAAGGGCTGCGACCACAGCTGGCGAAAATGGCCGCGAGCACGGCTGCGAAAATGGCTGCGACCACGGCTGCGAAAAAAATGGCTGCGACGACGGCTGCGAAATGGCTGCGAAAAAATGACTGCGTTGCAAACAGCGGTTGTGACATACATGTAGGTAGCAAATGCGACAACGGAGGCGGCACAGACTGCGACGACAACTGCGACACAGAAAATCGTTGTTACATCGGAGGCGGCACAGACTGCCACGACGACTGCGACACAGAAAATGGTTGTGCCAACGGAGGGGGCACAGACTGCGCCGACGACTGCGACACAGAAAATGGCTGTGACAACGGAGGCGGCGCAGACTGCGACGATGACTGCAACACAGAAAACGGTCGCGACAACGGAGGCGGCAGAGACTGCGACAATAACTGCTACACAGAAACCGGTTGCGACAACGGAGGCGGCACAGACTGCGACGATGACTGTGACATAGAAAACGGTTGCGACAACGGAGGAGGCACGGACTCAGACGACGACTGCGACACAGAGAACGGTTGTGACAACGGAGGCGGCGCAGACTGCGACGTTGACTGCAACACAGAAAACGTTGCGACAACGGAGGCGGCACAGACTGCGACACAGAAAATGGTTGTTTTAGACCTCTTCTCAGTCAAACTCATGCTTTGGCCATGCATCGGGGCCTGTGGGTATCAGGATTTCCTTGTGGGTTGATGGTTCACATCTTACCTGGCATGGGTTTTCATGCAAATGGAATTGGTTGGATTCACCCCATTCAATGCATGTATACCCAACAAAGGGTGCAAGGTTTTTAGTTTCGTGTGCAATAAATTTAGCTTCCCTACCTTTCCATACTAGTCATACCCAACATTAGTGTCATTTTTAAAATTTAGATCTCTGTTCTCATTTTCTCTTTGTGTGTCCCACTGTGAAGGTGTCCTGATTGGCTGCTTGCTTCTCTTCTGTCCCCTGTTGCTGACAAGCTGCAATGGTAAGATATATTATGGTGGATGAATTTGGTTCTGGCAATGTCATTATTTTCATGTGTGTCAGATAACAATGTTGTTTGCTTCCCTGGTGTTTGTGTGAAGGCTAATGCAACGTGTAGCATTGTGCTCGTATTGTCAGGTCATTGTCATTGCTGGTGGTGATGTATTGAGTTAGCATTGTGATAGTATTGTCAGGTCATTGTCATTGCTGGTAGTGATGTATTGAGTTAACATTATGATAGTATTGTCAGGTCATTGTCATTGCTGGTAGTGATGTATTGAGTTAGCATTATGATAGTATTGTCAGGTCATTGTCATTGCTGGTAGTGATGTATTGAGTTAACATTGTGATAGTATTGTCAGGTCATTGTCATTGCTAGTAGTGATGTATTGAGTTAACATTATGATAGTATTGTCAGGTCATTGTCATTGCTGGTAGTCATGTATTGAGTTAGCATTGTGACACTGTACCCCTGTGTATGCCCATACAGGTCAAACTGTCGGTCTATCTGCTACTGGTACACGGCAATTAGCACCATACAGAGTGACATTTGGTGATGGACAACCTACAGCCAATGTTACCAGTTACTTACCTGTATGCTTTGTGGCCAGTGGATCAGGACCGTTCATTCGACTAGAGAAGACTGATGGTAGTCTAGTGTTGGCTGAGTTAGGATCCTTCACAGTGTTTGGAAGACTACTGGTGAACACCACAGTACATCCTATACTGGACACATCATACACTGGCCTGTATCATTGCAGAACAGTGGATAACAACTCAACACAAACATATCAACTCAACATTGTAGGTAAGTTTGAAACCATTTCCTATTTTCTGTTCAATAATCTCTCAATAACTGACTGTGTACTGTACAGCATGGTTACTGGAGTGGAATGGAGAATGAAATTGAGAAATGATTTATTAGCTTTGTGTCTCACTCTCAGTATTACGTGTATGTACACGTGTGTGTGTGTGTAAACCTGACTATTGCACATGTGTGTGTGTGTGTGTGTGTACACCTGACTATTGTACATGTGTGTGTGTGTGTGTGTGTGTACACCTGACTATTGTACATGTGTGTGTGTGTGTGTGTGTGTGTGTGTGTGTACACCTGACTATTGTACATGTGTGTGTGTGTGTGTGTGTGTGTGTGTGTGTGTGTGTGTACACCTGACTATTGTACATGTGTGTGTGTGTGTGTGTGTGTGTGTGTACACCTGACTATTGCACATGTGTGTGTGTGCACCTGACTATTCTACATGTGTGTGTGTGTGTGCACCTGACTATTGTACATGTGTGTGTGTGTGTACACCTGACTATTGCACATGTGTGTGTGTGTGTATACCTGACTATTGCACACATGTGTGTGTGTGTGTGTGTGTGTGTGCACCTGAACATTGCACATGTGTGTGTGTGTGTGTACACCTGACTATTGCACATGTGTGATACAAAATAACACTACGTTCCTGCACAGTGAAACTTGAGTCTCCGACAACCTTATCGATCCGACCACTTTTTCTCGTCCCGAATATTCTTTCATAGGCGCATCTAGAACCTGGTCTCCGACTATGTTGGAGTATTTATATTCGACAGAACAATAGCCTAGTTTTGTAGCACTTGTGCATGACCTATTTTGACATTTCGGCATGAATAATACGTGATTTCCGCTCATGGTTTATGCACACTCTGTGTTGCATGCTGGCTGTACGGCTGTCACTGCACCCCGTATGCTTTCCCCCACACCTTCCATACACGGACTCGTGTCCGGATGCTCTGATGTAGGGCGCTTGTTCACTTTCACATAATGCAGCTAATATGGGACTATATGGGACTAACTCGAACCAGGGACCTTTCTCGCGAAGATCCCTGGTTCGAGTCCTGGTGGTGTGACTGAGGACGTTTTTCTTTCTTTCGTATCTGATTAGCAAGTGTTGAGTTTCGGAGAGAAAAAGAGCAGTACGAGGAACCTGGTCTAATTTCCTAATACTTTGCAACTCTCCATCAAGTCCCAAATTTTGAAATTCCGATCAGGGTTTATTTCTCAAGTCTTCACTCTATCCATTATTGTACACTGAAGACTTGCTACCACAAAACCTACAACCGGCTTCAATGTTCTCTTCTTTGTTTCCAGAACTTTGTCCAGATCTCATTTTTGCAAAACACAACTTCAAACCCATTACTGATTTTAGCAGGGCGATTGGTACGAACATATCAGTACAGTGTCAAACGGGGTTTCTTGCTAACACCAGTCTGGATGTGACCTATTCTACATGCCAGAGTGGCGGAGTATGGAACCCAAGACCACCAGCATGTGAAAGTAAGTCGGTACACTAGTTATTATTGGTGTTGAAACAAGCGTATCTTTAGCACCACGCTACCTGAACGCGTCCAAACGTCAACACCTGTAAAAATCGTATTTTCCCATGAAAGTACTACCTGTTCAAGGATCGATAACTTTACCTTCCGTTGGACGAATTCCACGATCTTAAACTTCCTGGAAAGGTCTTGAGCCGAGGAACAAACTGGTGGCAAACCCAGCTCGGAGCAAAACCAAAACCCCGTGCTACAGTCTGGCAAACTTCATCAACGTGCTCGACAGACTCGAGTACGGCCAAGACTAACCGGGGTCAAATATTCAGCTGCCATTTCGGTCTCCTTGCTTGTATCGAGCTCAAATGTTTTGTCAAGACTCACGGGATCTACTACCATCATTTGAATCCTGTTTCCATGGCAGCAAGTAGCGGGAAAAATGATCCACAATGGAAAATACGTGTTCTGCAGACTGCACGAAAAAATCTAGTTGAAATTTGCCGTGTCCAGTCGCATATCTCAACAACCGGTAGTCGTAACGCATCGGCGATTGTTTCTATCGCCAACTGAGAGTTTTCACGTGCAGATACAGGTTTCGATTGTGAGAATCGACCAAATATTGAGTAAGTTACGATAGTTTGAATAAGTCGCTATGGACTCAACACGGACCCCACGACTATGAGATGCAGGTTCATTGTGCAGTGTACAGCGCGCGTCGTACTAGTACCACGGCCGTGGGGCATGCAACTCATGTGCGTCGTACCAGTATGACGCTTGCGCTAAAGGGGTTAACAAACCAGCGAACAGTTCCACTAACGAGCAAGCTATCGAGAGAGCTAACGAGTTTCATTGATGTGGCAATATGATTTTTTACGTATTTTTTTCTAAGCTCGATTTCTTATTCAATTCAGCTGGTTCAAATAATTATCACTGCTGGTATTTGGGGTTGCTTCTGCTTCACTTCGGACTACTGTTTGGTGCCGAGATGTCGTTTCAGCGCAGTCGTTGAGCAGCCTTTGTAAGAATAGACCGTTTTGCAACGATTGCAAGTAGCCCTGTTCTTCGCTGCATCGCGGGAGAAAACTTCCAAATGACTTGGAGTAACTTTTACTCGAATGGAAAGTTGACAGAAGCATGTCCTGCGACAGATCAGCAGATGCGGAACAAGACATCAGTGGAGGCCACCAAAGCTGCAACGACAACTGAAACACATTCGCGTTGTGCAGGCATACGGTCACTGTAACTGCGAGTGATTTTCTTTTTGCATGGGACTGGACTCTTCGTACCAGGGAGTCGTAAAATATTTAATAAGCCCCGGGCATATACTTTGCAGAGCGTCAAAAACCGGGCGTATATTTGGGCATGGGCGTATTTTAGGGCATGGGCGTTATTTCCGACGCAATCTACAGAAGATGAATTTATCAGTAACCCACTAGTTTCAGTGAACCGCCATTCATACTGAGTGCGGTACAGGTACATCAAACCACAGCTGGAAATTTGGTCGTAACCAAGAATGTAGTGATAAATTACAGATTTGATATGTAAACCACTTGCTATGGTAAGTAAATGGCACGACACGTTACGCCCTGGGCTTATTTCGGGCATGGGCGCTAAAACGGACTTGAAGTGTGCACCGCCTATAACTGGGCTTATTATCGGACATGGGCGTTATTTAGGGTGGGCTTATTTACGGAATTTTACGGTGCGGTGTTCGTTAGTGCACATGAGCTGGCCGCACAAACAAACCGAGTTTCTGGCGAGTGAGCTAACGAGTACCCGGTGAGATCGTTTCCACACTACTAGTGATGAGGGTTGTTTTTTCGGGGTTTTAAGAGTGTTAAGCAGTGAGTTATTTTCCAGCTTTATCTGGGTCTGTCGAGTTGCCGAACGAGAACAGTTGGAAAGCGGTTTCAAATGGCCGTGAAGTTGTGCACCGGTCATTTGTGTCTCAAAGTGTTACTAACTGGTGATGGAGGTCACATTCCACTTGCTATGCCTATCTAAATATAGTGATCACTCTAGCACACAATTTCACGCTCACTATCCGTTTTTGCCGACAATGACGACTTGCGTAATAAAACTAACGTCTAAAATAGACCTTGAATTATCCTAGTTCCAAGCAAACACACAAACATGCTGGTCTATAATAATACCGGTAAATGGCACACTTTTTGCACCCGTTCTCTTCTATTTCCATTCCAGGAGGTTGCAAAGTTAGATGTTCCGATGACATCAATGTTGAATCCTGTAATCACGTGATGGGACAAGGCACTGTCAACTGTATTTGTAAACTAAACTATATATGGGCGGGGAGCAAGTGTGTGGGTAAGTGACTTATGTGCTATGCATCACACAACTTCACATTGATGTGTTGTGAATTGTGCCATGGTTCATGCTTGGGTGAGACAGAGACAGGCGCTGAACACTAATGTCACTGGCAATGTTTGAGTGCACACTCCTGTATGGCAAAACCTATGTGTACTTCACATGGGGATCACTAGTAGCTGCAATCTAGGTTTTCACTTGCTTCTTTCCATCTCTGCCTTTCTGTGTGTAACGCATATGCTTGTGTGTCGGTATATATGTGCGTGTATTTTGCTGTGTTCTATTTAGTAGTCTCTCCTACAAGTCCTGTTACCAGTGGTACGTTCGATTCTGTTTCTCCTTGCCTTGCACTTTCAGTGAGTGCATCAAGCACTGCAATGGGTTTTGAAAACACTGCATGACCACTGTGTTGCATCTACTGGTGCAGAAGTGACCATTAGAGCAGTGACAACAACTTTCTGCAGCATGTACTAGAAAAAACATGTGTCAGAATTGTTTCTAGCCGCGCAAAGATGTATGTGTCTTTCATGGTGGCTCGGTGTGCACGCTGTATACGTCTAGGCGAGCAAGAATGTATGTGTCTTTCATGGTAGGTTCGGTGTGTACTCTGTGTAGGCCCAGTATGCCTGTACCACACCACTCAGTGTGTCAGAAGTAACTAGTTGCTGCTCGACATCTCGTACTGAATGCCTCGTTTCTGTTTATGTCCTTTTGTGGCCCAAAATGTCACAACCTACGGTTCAACTACCACTTCATCGGCGCTTCTGCCCACGACGCCACGACTACTTCACACAAACTCGCTACCTCCTACATCTTATAATCAGCTATGTCAAGTGGAACACGATCCTTGCATCCGCCTTCCACTGCCGATGATTCTACAAAGCAGCGTGTATCAACTGCAGCTATCGTTGGCATTGCTAGTGTAGTAAGCATCGTGACAGTGGCATGTGCCATCCTTCTCACCTTCAAGATGAAGAAGGTTCACAGGTAGGATCTTACTATAAATTTCTACTTTATACTGGTGTGGCGGCGGCTTGTGTACTGTTTGCTCTTGGTCTCTACTGTAAATTACCACCAGAGCACCCCACCTTGATTTCACAGCCAGGGAAAACATAATCCTATGGCAGAGTGCAATAGATTGTGTGCGATGTGAGAGCCTTAGTGTACTAAAGTCACACTTAGGTTTTTGTGTGCAGCTCGTGTCCGCCAAAAGTTAACGTGTATACGGATTGACTGCACAACGTGCAATATGTATACACGGTTCGTGTGGTATGACCTACAGGCAGGACACCACGTCCACAATACGAGCAGAAAAGGACGCGCCGTACTCGCTGTACTTTACGCTACTTACGTCTATGCGCTCATAGGATATGAAGCATGGCTAGTGGCTCTGGAAATTACCTACATCCGAAGTGCCACCAGCAGTTACATGTTGCCCTGCCTTTACAATGAGAAAACCCTGTATGGTGGAGAAATGCGCACAGAAACAATTTCGCCTGGTTGCATCATGTGTGAGCGAACAAGGTAGAAACGGAGAAATGGAATGTTACCTACATTTTGGCAAAAATCTGTTTTGCATGAAGGTCACCTACAACAATCTATTTTTTCAGGTTCCAAAGTTTCAGGCTGCGACTATCTATGAAGGAGTGTTTCAATCCTCTCCATTTTTCGGCACTAGCAATAGTCCAAGAAGATGGCTGCTACAAACGTTTGAACTTGCACTTCGTGCCAAGACGACTGACTCACGACTGCCGTGTGGAGCACATGAAAAGTACGTCAGGCGGTCCCCTCGTGAAGCCTGCAAGAAAGCACCACTCTCTGCTCAACACACAGTGTTTCGGGGAATTCCCCTCTCGTCATCACTGACTCATCAGCTGAACTGGAGTAAGCTGAGTAGGTCTAACGTCTGGAGCAGCCTCCTTCTTCTACAATAACTGCCCAAGTTTCAACATCTCACTTTGACAATAGTTTGATAGGATCAATTAAAACTGTGCAATTTTTGATCAACATCGATGTGTCCGTTTTTATGTTCGGATTTGAGTACGATCCACCTCTGCATCGCATTTGCAATTGAAGGGCTCCGATTCAACACGATGTAAAACCGTTTTATGGAAAGTTCAGGAACTGCAGTTTTTCCTTTGTTCTTTTCGGTCTGCACTGCAGCAGCAATGACCTTTATCGTGTTTTGCAGAAGAACGCAAACTTTAGGCATCATTTTGACTGGGATGTATCTCAATTTGACCCGTAAAACCGACACACACAGACGTCCGTGGCGTGATGATGAATTCTTCCATTACAAAAAAACGCAAAAGCTCCGGTTTGGTCATTATAGCGTTTTGAATTGGAGCCCTTCAATTGTGTTTATGGATTCTCCACAGGCCTTAGCCTAAATCGATTGAGTCTCCGTCATTGCACATGCAAAAAGTATGTCCGAAATAGAGAAAAAAGAAAAAAATATTGTATATAAACGCAGTTGCATTGATTTTCCAATGGTGGGGTATGGCATAATTGTATATCTGTGCATAACACATTGATTTTCCAATGGTGGGGTATGGCATAGTGGTATGTCTGTGCATAACACATTGATTTCTCAATGGTGGAGTATGGCAGAGTGGTATGTCTGTGCATATTACACATGCAATGATAACATCCTGATAAGAAGAAGGACAAAATGTTACGAGTTATGACTAACTGCCCACCAACGTAACCAGATCTTATACAGTCAGAGAGTGCGACAAAATGGTGGACAGTTATTCATAACTCGTAACATTTTGTCCTTCTTCTTTTCACAATAATTTAATTGGCTCACCATCCGAGTTAAATGATAACATCAACAATAATAACAGTTTTGGATAGTCTCCACAGGCCCAAGTCACCCCCTGGCAACAAACGTAGAAATCAATTTCACAGTCCGCTCAAGACTCAGTTAGACTGAATTTTCAGCATCCGTAGGAACTCCACCACCCTTCAAAGATTTAAAGTGCAGAAGCAGCTCCTAAAGCGGTGGGAGGCCCACCACCAAAGTGGTCCGAGACCGAAAAGCTCATTTGCTGCATTCATGTTTCCCTCGTGCCAGGCCACGAGTTTCCTATCGACTATGGGCCGCAGCACAGCTGGAACAAATCCTTCCGCTTCCTGGCAGGACTTGAACCTGGTACCATCTATTTCTCAATCATGGTCTTAGACAAACCCCCATGTCAACACCCTAGAATACTACCGAATACTGGATTAACGATTTGATTATAGAGACGTAGTAGGCCGTCGAACTCTGACGTCACAGCTTCTTGACAACGCGTAATTACTTGGCCAAGTGGTGCCAAACAAAAGTCGCGTCACCTGCACTTTTCGTGTTTCCAGTGGCAGCAGCATTATGCAGTGACCACAGCTACAGCATCTTTTTGACTGAGGAGAGCGCCAGCGAGACTATTTATTTCAAATAAACTGCTACTTGTCGCCGAGTTTCTAGTTTTCGCCTTGTAGAGAAGGAGAAGCCGTAGCTGATTTTTTTGCTTGGCCACTGCTGTGCCTGTACTGTCGTTTGACTTTACATGTAGTCGCCGGCCAAGAAACAATGATCGGTGCCTCTGTTATTTATATCACCGTGATCGCTGATTTCTTTTGGTTCTGAGACCAACCAACTCTGGGCTGGTTTCCTTGTCCAGCGGCAAGCGAAAATCATAACTCCTATCTCTCAGGTGCTGGGTAACACTCAGCAGGTAAACACTGCACGATGGCTTGAGAGCCAAGGAGAAACTTGTTGAAGTAAAACAAATTTTGAAGTCGCAATCTGCACCAGCGCGCCCCAGTCAAAGTGATGCTGTAACCGTTGGAAACACGACAAGTGCAGGTGACGCGACTTTTGTTTGTTACCACTTGGGCTTGTAACTACATGTGACTACGAGTTTTCAGGCAGCGTGACGTAGGCACTTCGACAGCCTATAGCAGAATAGAAAAGAAGCACTGGCAAGAAAGTAATGAAAAGACACGAAGTTTATCTGGTCAGTACAACACTGATGGCGTGCTCATTACCACAATCTCCCAAACATAGCTGCACAAAACAATAAAACGAGAACATGGAGAAAAGGATCCATGTGGGCTCAAAACCCATGGCGAGTAGAAGTTACATAGAATAAATGATAGAGCAGAATGGTTTTATATGACGAGCGTCAGAATTGCAGTTCATTCTTTTCGATGTACTTGCACTTAAAAGTGCAAGTACATCGAACTTATTGGTGTCATCAATTCCACTTCAACAGGACACTGCCTGTGGACTCTCCTGCCACTGTCCCCGTGGATATCCTGCCCCCCAACACCACCGAGGAGGAAGGTGGTGATGACCAACAGGCTGCAGCCCAGCCAGACACAACCACAACAACAATTGCAGTCAGCCAACGGGTACCGCAAAGGTCAACGACTAAATGCAAGGTGGCACGACCATTTGTAGTTGTTGCACCCGCAACGAAATCCCATGTATACTCAATTGAAGAAGTATCTTCTTCCGGGGAGATTGAACTGCTGACGTAGTTATGTAAGTCCACTTCCTACAACCCAGCACTACTTATACATGGAAAGTTTAAGGTTGCATTTGTTCGGTCATTCCCCGAATGGGCATGAAATGCAGTCGGTACCCATTGCGGAATCGGAATGAGGGTAGCAAACAAACCCGCCCGCGTTGACTAGTGAATCTGGCGTTTTGTGCAACTCTGGAAATGATGGTTGGTTGTTTTGTTTGTATACCAGCTTCACCTGTTGTTTTGTAGCCTTGCCAAGGCTATCGGTAGTTACTTTTTTGCTTGCGCACATTTCTGCATGCCCCTTACAACAGTCCAGATGATGGTGCGGCCAAACGCGGCGTAGATCTACGAGCACCCGTGACTAGGGTGCCTATACATGGCGTTTGTCCACTACTTCATCATGACTATTCGACACCTCGTCTCAGACACAGAAACATCTCTAGTTCTACACGTAACTGAGGCTCTTTTTTTATTTGACAGAAATTAGGCACTGCAGTGAGCAGAAACCAAGTGGCAGGCTCAGTACCTGTTTGGAAGATTAGGTGCTGTGGATCGTGGGGCTCGACAATGAGTTCTTGCTAGTCTCGCTGTGATTCTAGAGGCCCTGCTCGACGATGAGGAGGAGAGGTGCGAGGCCATCTTTCCAGTTCTTATCCTGTGCGAACACTTTCTCAGGCAGCCAAGGGTCAAAATACCACCAACAAGTAACTATGCCGAGCTTGCAGTGCCGCCCTATACCCTATACAATGTCCGGCAACATTGCGTATGGCAAGAATCGAGTTTAAAGTTTGTTGGCGGAGGTATGCAACAGCGACAAAGGCCACAGTGGCCGAAGCGCATTGTCATTCCGCTCGGAATGAGAACTCATTCCACTTTTTGTTTGGAATCGCCGACAACGATTCTGCTCCATTCATTCAGCGACCGGAATCGGCATTGCGCGAACACAGCCGAATGTATCAAACAAACGTACTGGAACCAAAACAAGGTGCAATGACTTTGAAACAAGCGCAACCTGTGTCTGATGTTGCTGTTGTAGAAGTTTATTTAACGTCGCACCACAAACAGAGGGTATCGTCTCCTTTGATACATGTGGACGACATAGGATGATGCTTTCCAACTGTTTCCTTCCATGCACTGTCCACTTTCTTTCTCTCTCACTCTCTCTCTCTCTCTCTGTCTCTCTCTCTCTCTCTCTCTCTCTCTCTCTCTCTCTCTCTCTCTCTCTCTCTCTCTCTCTCTCTCTCTCTCTCTCTCTCTCTCTCTCTCTCTCTCTCTCTCTCTCTCTCTCTCTCTCTCTCTCTCTCTCTCTCTCTCTCTCTCTCTCTCTCTCTCTCTCTCTCTCTCTCTCTCTCTCTCTCTCTCTCTCTCTCTCTCTCTCTCTCTCTCTCTCTCTGTCTCTCTCTCTGTCTCTCTCTGTCTCTCTCTCTGTCTCTCTGTCTGTCTGTCTCTCTGTCTCTCTGTCTCTCTCTCTGTCTCTCTCTCTCTGTCTCTCTGTCTCTCTCTCTGTCTCTCTCTGTCTCTTTTTCTCTCTCTCTCTCTCTCTCTCTCTCTCTCTCTCTCTCTCTCTCTCTCTCTCTCTCTCTCTCTCTCTCTCTCTCTCTCTCTCTCTCTCTCTCTCTCTCTCTCTCTCTCTCGTCTTTCCAGGTTCTTGAACTCACACAAGGTTTTGTACGTGAACTGCACTTTATGTGTTTACCATTTCTGAAGAAATGGTCAGGCCTACCTCGATGCGCAAACTCTGCCATTCTTTTTTTTGGCAGTCGCAAACGCTTTGGCTTACGCCTCCACTACCTTCCTACGGTGTGGAAAAAGTGCCAGTCCATCAAATGGCACATTCTTCGATCGAGTGGGGACGCGCGCATGAGGGCGCTGTACACTCTTTGTCGGAGTAAGGATGCGAAGCTGACAAAGCGATATGCGGCGACAATAGAGCTGGAGTGTGCAGAGGCATCAGTAGATTCAGGGACTCTCCGTCCACCGTCATCTTCAAGTCATCGTGCAGGGTTGGGTGCTCGTGCTCCGAAGCAGCATTCCAAACCCCCGAGGAAGGATCTCCTTCAAACATTTGAGGAGATCAACGCGCAGGAGCAGATTTTGAGGCTGAAGACTCTTCAGGTGCAAGGCAAGTGGTTGGAGTGGACATCGGTGATGTGGCAGGACCTCTCGTGGAAATTCCTTTTGTACGGTGGTACTGGTAAGGATTTGAAATTTCTTCTCGCATCAACCCTCGACGTGCTACCTTCTCCGACGAACCTACGCCGTTGGGGAAACACCGTAGTGGATCCGTACTGTAGTTTGTGCTGTGCCTGGGCCTGTACTACGCGCCACGTGCTTGGCGCTTGGCGCGTAGCGCTGGACCAGGGACGTTACACCTGGAGGCACGACAACGTACTCGGGGTCATCGTCAGGAACATGCGTGAGGAGATTCGAATCCGCACTGCTGCAAACACCGTACAAACCGAAAATTCGAATGAGCTTGACTTCATCTCGTTTTGCAAGGCGGGAGAGAAGCCAGTTCGCGTTCAGCCCAGACGAAAGTTGGTTACGACTGATCTCCTGTCAGCGGCCTCAGACTGGAAACTTCTTGTCGACTCAGTTAGTGCAAAGATTTCTTTCCCTAGCTGTGTTGCACTTACCACCCTAAGACCAGATATAGTTCTGTACTCTACGAGTCGTAGGATTGTATTCTGGATGGAGTTGACAGTTTGTGCTGAGGACAGATTCAGTGTCAGTAACTCGCGGAAGGACAGGCGGTATGCGGATCTGGCCGATCAATGCCGAGCAAACGGGTGGCAGGTCGTTTCTTTTTCGGTTGAGGTAGGTGTGCGTGGTTTCATCCCGGACTCTCTTCGGAGGGCTCTGAAAGCGCTTGGGTTTTCTAATCGAAGAATAAAATTTATTTGTAATTTGTGCAGTAAGACGTCTCTGCGAAGCAGCTACATCATCTGGTTGCGACGTCAACAAAAACACTGGTCGGAAGATCCACTTTTCTGAGGTACTGTATGTGGTGCTCCGTTTATTGAGGTGCGTTGAAATTTATTCTCTTTATCTTATTATTTCTTTTCTCTAATTTCCCCATATGAGTTCCTATCAGTTGCTTTGAACACCTTGAGTGGAGAGCGCTTGCTCGAGCGTTGAACCGGGTTCTTAATCCACCATACCCAGTTCGCAAGGCTGGGCGGGTTTGTGAGCAGGCTTTCATTTCATCTTTTCTTATTATTTCTTATTATTTCTGCTTTTCATCTCATTACAAAATTCTGCGCTTTTTCTCCATCTGCGCATAAAATCTAGACTGACAACCTGCTTGGTAAATCATGCACCTGCTTTCAGGCGTAAAAACCCTGTTGTAGAGGTCTCAGTCCTCATTTGTTAGACTTACCTGTCTTTATAAATGTAACTTACTACTCTCTCTCTCTCTCTCTCTCTCTCTCTCTCTCTCTCTCTCTCTCTCTCTCTCTCTCTCTCTCTCTCTCTCTATCTCTTTCTCTCTCTCAATGTTATCGTCATCGGCCTTTGTTGGCCGTGAGCAACTACTCCTGCTTCCTCATTGTGTCTGTCTTTCCCTGTTGTTTTTCTCTCTTCCTCTCCATCTTCCTGTACTCCAGAGCCTCGGGCAAGCCTATCTGAAACTATGCCACGCTTCTTCCAGCTGACGCGCTCGGGTGTGTCTGTCACTATCGGCCCTAACACGCATGCACAACCACACATGCACACCCACACAGGCACATCCACGCATGCACAGCATAGTGGACTTCGTAAAAAATAAAAAAATAAATAAAAATAAAAATCCGCGCATGCACATCCACACGTGCACATCCACACATGCACATCCACGCATGTACATCCACATCCACGCATGCACACCCACACATGCGCTCCCATGCATGCCCATCCACGCATGCGCTCCCATGCATGCACACCCACACATGCACACCCACGCATGCACATCCACGCATGCACATCTACACATGCACATCCACACATGCACATCCACGCATGTACATCCACATCCACGCATGCACACCCACACATGCGCTCCCATGCATGCACACCATCGCATGTACACCCACTGCCACTCAACCACATACACATGCGTTCCCGCTCACACACACACACACACACACACACACACACACACACACACGCGCGCGCGCGCATGTGTTCGCACTAACACATACACGTGCACTAACACATACACACACCTGCTTACCAACACCCTTTCACAATGCTTTCCTGTCCACTCTGTTTTTTCTGCGTGCAGTCCTCCCCAATGTTGTGTATATTTTGAGCATCGCAGGATGTGATTGCATGTCCTATGTTTTTGTATTTTAGCTCTTTCTGTTTTTTTCCTTTACACTTGTAGAGATAGTATCCCTAGTTTCTTGGTGGAAGTTGCCTGAGCTAGTTTAGCAAGCTGTATGCTTCCTTTAAAATATACATAACTGTATGGTATGTACTCACACTATGTTTTGTGGCCGATTTTGACCAGTCCCCAGTTTCGGTTTCCTTTCGCCTCGAGCAGCACTCCCTTTTTCTTTTCTTTTTAGTGATTGACTTTGTATTGATCTGCTGTGACTATGATACTACGAGGAAAGTTGCTGTTTCTTCTATTCGGTGCATTGCCCTTTCTTGCCTGCTTCAGCGCTAGCAAGGCGCAGTGCATTTGTTGCAAATATGTCATCAGATTTCCAAATTATATCTTTTGTGAGTTTTAAATGAAATTTTGAATTTGAATCGCAGTGAAGGACCGTTTCTGGGGTTTGCAGGTAGAAGTAAAGTCTCCAAAAAAATTAACCTTTTTTGTAATTTTGGCATGTTACCGTGCAGAAAGTTTATCGATGTTTGTAAGACGGAAAGAACATGCATGGCTGTTTGCGCATCTTTACACAGACATGTCAAACCGGGTTCACGATAACGTTTCTTCAAATAAGGGAAAAATTGGTAATTAAAACGCTAGACATTGCGACTCGTTATACTTTCCAGTTTTACAGTATTGCAGGTTGTGGACGTGACTTCTTGAGTCGAGGAATACATGTAGGTAGTGAATGGGAGTAGATGGCAGCAGGACGGTATGTATTTAGAGGGAGTACTATGTACTAGCTCTGTACCTAATTAAACTGAGCACAGTCATGAGCAACCCGGTGTTCAACATCATGCACTGTTACAATACCAGCCAATACAGCTAATCAGTGTGAATGCCGGAGCCGCAGACGATAGCAGATTGCGACCAAGTAGACACATCTACTGTGTTCTGCACACGCTGGTCATCGGGTAGATGGACATGTATCCGGTCCAATGGTCCAGTGCTCCACGCATTGCATTCAGACTTCACTGCACTGTTGAATAGCAGGCGTTGAGTCATACTCCCCGCCGGGATGCTTCACCAGCCAATACACCTAATCAGTGTGGCAATATGACTGGCTGCATGTTCACACAATACTCACACCTAACAAAGAGTAGAGACAGAGCACGTTCAGGTTGGGTGTTTCCTAAACCTGACTCTTGTTCACGATTACCAACCGGGGACGCATGTTCCAAGCACTGGACGGACGGTCCGGGCTCCAGTGGCAAGTCCAGTGGCAAGTCCAGTGGCAAGTCCAGTGGCAAGTCCAGTGGCAAGTCCAGTGGCAAGTCCAGTGGCAAGTCCAGTGGCAAGTCCAGTGGCAAGTCCAGTGGCAAGTCCAGTGGCAAGTCCAGTGGCAAGTCCAGTGGCAAGTCCAGTGGCAAGTCCAGTGGTTGCAATGTGAGTTTTTACTATAATAATTATTCACGTACCTACAGCTAGAAAATAATAATGAAAGACGGTGATACAGTGACTAGGGAAGTGAGACAACTCGTGAACAAGTGCTTCAACCAGACGCAGCAGTTATGCTGTACTCGTGCACGTATGGCCACGTCGGCTCACAAGGCGGTGAAAACTAACGCATGGTTCACGCTCGCCACGGGACTACGTGAGACGACACCAGCAGCTCACATACATGTAACATCAAGAGTAGAATGATGTTATGTACTGGGGATCATGTACTCTTGGTGATATGCATGCCAGGCTATGCTCTTCAGCAAACAGTTTTGCATGATCTCTACACTTGAGTTCCTGTGTGTAGGCTCCAGGCATAGGCATGCCGGCACAGGGCAGTATCAGTTCCTAATAGTATTATTGCCTCGACTGTGTCCTATGACACTCCGTCGTGACTGCACTGCAGCATGTGATGACTGCACGGTCAACGTGAACTACTTCTTTCTCTGGCAAAACTCCAGTCCACCACCAGCAGCAACATGACCTGGCGCTACACGTAGTACGATACTCCGACGGATGTCCACTGCACAACTACTTCGTCAACTACTAACAGTTAACAGCAGACCCCGATGTCTTGTGCATGGTTACACACGACCAGCACCGTCACTGAACCTGGGCCGTGAATCGCCGTTTCATCTTCACGATAGGCAACACACCTGGACATTCCCTTTCATAGCTGCTCAGCGGCTTAGACACCAGATTCACGACCACGCTGCTTACAACGACAGATCTTCACTCTTCAAGGTGCAAGGGATTACGAGCGTACTGGGATCTCGTCATTCATCCTACGCTTTGAAAGACACTGTGATCCAAAGTAGAATGGCCACACGCAAGCTGTGCTTGAAACTGACAGTGAAGCTGGGACAGCCTAATGTCTAAGTAGATCTACTACTAGTAATTAGCTTGCACGAGATAAATGCCGCTTGGCGAGATAGAGAGAGAAGAAAGAAATTTCAGCAGTATCGAACATGATGTATGTAATCAAGCACGCTCAGGATCTAGGAGGTCATGATGGCTGAATCTTGCCCGAGCCTGCAGCCCAAGGGCCGTAGGCCCGAGGGCTGCAGGCAAGGGCAAGATTCAGCCATCATGACAGACAGAGCGATCTAGAGCGTGCTTGATTTGATTTCTTGCAGCGCGAAGCAACATATTAGGGAAGGTCAAAGGTCGAAAGGTCGAAAAATTATTCCCGAAATGACGTCAAACGGTCCGAACATTCCCGAAATGACGTCAAACGGTCCTGATGGCCTGATTATGCCCGCGGCGGGAAGATCGCCTATTGGCCATGGCCCCGGCAACGATCACGTGTCATGTAAGAAACGGTAATAATATCATAAGATTCCCAAGCACCTATCTTGACCACCCAGCCATGCGCCACCACTGACACCAGGGCCGGGAGAGATCCGGCCGAGTGTTTGGCTCAGAAGAAATGACCCAAAAATTGTTTCCTGACCCCCCAAAAAAAGTAGCGCCACCATGTTAGTGGCTATGACAACACCAGTGCATGCATGCAGCTAGCTGAGCTTGTACTGTTGTAGCTTGTCCGTGCTGCTGAGTAGATCTACGAGTGCTGTGCTCATGCCTTCATGGTGCTTTTTTTGGCGAAGGACTTTTCGGTGCATCACCACCATGGTCATGCCACGCAACAGCTTCGACCAGGCGTCACCTTTGTACCTAGGCTAGGTACCTACATTGCTACAATTATGTAGCTACCTAGACTCACGTCGAGTTGGAGCAAACACGTCGTTTTCAACATCAGTTCGCTTCAAGCTATCCGTGACAAACATGTAGAGTTCTGGAGTTTTTGTTGCAGCTGTTGGCAACGACCGGAACAAAAAGAGCAAAACTGTAAGCCATGGTAAACTAGGAAGGGAGATGACCCTTCACAGCCTGAAGGATTTCACTTGAAAAGCTCGGCTGACAACTAACTTGAAGCAGGAATGGTGGAGTGGAGTACACTTCAGTTGAATGTGGTTCCTGCTGGCCTTGCGGATGAATTCAGCGTACCAGCAGCAGGGCAGGGAGGATGGATCAACAAGAGGCAGTCTGAAGTATCGACAGCCTCTCACTGTTTCATACGGTAAGAGCTCAGTAAGCATAATTATACTGCGAGTCTTTATGGAAGTAATAATTGTTGGTAGGACGTGTGCCTAATGTTTTGATTGATTGCAATCGCCTGCCCACAGCTAAACTAAGCTAGGTCTGCTGGTAGCTGCACGTGCAGTGTCGACGTGCAGCACAGGTGTCTCAGGATTATTGTATGCTTGGAGAGCAGCTACAGTTCATGCTCAGTAAAATCCAGTCGAGTCACTCAAGTACACGCCGGGCGTTGAGCAGTAATTCAGATGTACTCTCAGTGAAATCCAGGCAAGTCACTCAAGTTGCGCAACCCTTCAGATGGACTTCAAAAAAAAAAAAAAAACTTCTAGCTTTTGGCCATAAATGTGTCAAACTTTGAGCTTATGTAACAATTTTTCTGAAGTCTCCTATGGAATCCTCTCCAGTATGTTTCTGAAGTCAATTTTTCTAACGAAAACGCCATAACAAGAATAGGATTTCGGCCACGTTCTGCCCCAAAGGCACTGAATAGGGAAAACCATGAACAATCCCGGCTGTTTTACTCCACCTCCAACAGTACATTGTGTTATGAACCCAGGTTGAAGTACCTTTTTGGAGCCTTTTTCAAGTTTCAAATTTCTCGGTACTGAACCGTGCACGATAAAATTACATATGGGCGGGGGGGGGGGGGGAGAAAATATGACAGCACTGTCGGTTGCCAAAGAACTGTGGTTCAGCCTGGTAGACTAGACTGTTCATATTTTAATGTACTACAGTCTATGCACAGTTGAGCCAACGTGTATACATTGCTATGCTGTCCTTGGTGACATTCTAACCTGGGTGTTCTTACACACTCCGTTCCTCGGTGTCCCACAGTACTACACGGCTTGGAATTGATGATGTCAGAAGTCAAAATCTAACGATAAATACTGACTTTTGGACCCACTCTGCCTATGGTATAGCATAGGGTGTGGTGGGTGTACCCCTCATGTAGCATGTTCACATAGCTGTGACCTCTTCTCTAGCAGGAGTGAGTACCTGACCAGGAGAGACCGTGACCTCTTCTCTAGCAGGAGTGAGTACCTGACCAGGAGAGACCGTGACCTCTTCTCTAGCAGGAGTGAGTACCTGACCAGGATAGAGACCGTGACCTCTTCTCTAGCAGGAGTGAGTACCTGACCAGGAGAGACCGTGACCTCTTCTCTAGCAGGAGTGAGTACCTGACCAGGAGAGACCGTGACCTCTTCTCTAGCAGGAGTGAGTACCTGACCAGGATAGAGACCGTGACCTCTTCTCTAGCAAGAGTGAGTACCTGACCAGGAGAGACCGTGACCTCTTCTCTAGCAGGAGTGAGTACCTGACCAGGAGAGACCGTGACCTCTTCTCTAGCAGGAGTGAGTACCTGACCAGGAGAGACTGTGACCTCTTCTCTAGCAGGAGTGGGTACGAGGTGGTTTGGCTTTTTTTAACATGGTTGTAAAATGACGTGTTTTCAGTCACTTCTAGACAAGCTACGTCCAAATGAATTGTTGCAAATGGAAGTGCTATCCTTCATGCCCGTTGTGTCCAAAAATGGGAATGATCCCACTTTGGAAAGTGTCTTGAATCATGTCCTACTTTCACAGTATTCTCAGGATTCAAAAAAAGGTGTGCCATTTTTTAACAAATTTGTAAAATGGCATCACAAACTGGAATATTCGGTCATCAATGTTCTGAAGTTGATAGATATCACTTCAAGGATTGCTAGTGGATGAAAATTAATCTGTCAACAGAGGAGTGAACTGCATTGTATGTTGCGAAAGCCGTGTTTTTGTATTTGTAACTAGTGGCTGTGTTATACGGTGGAATTGGATAGATAGCATAGCATCGCAGCGATGTT